ATGCTTTGTTTCTCACTCGGGTTCCACTTGAGAGATGGACTGGCATGCGATGTCACTCAACAGTATCCTAAGCGGGTGTTCGATCCATCTCCATTTCCTTCGGAATATTTGTTGAGCAGTAGCTCTTTGGTTGGTTCGTTCCCAGAGTTTCTTGTTGCTAATTCTTTATGGCAAGCTAAGGTTGTTGTTGGATAAAAGTCTGCAGCAGGCTGTTGTAAATGCGCAAATCTCTGACATATGTAGAAGGACTGACTGACCGCATACGAATTTCGTTCTTCATGCTGACTGGACGGAACAGATTTCCAAACTGATTTTGGAGTGATGGAGGTCAGCCTTGCCTTTCAGACTCTGGTTTTGACATCCCCTTCCGTACTAAATGTCTGTAACTGAAACGATGCTACCTATATGAGTGGAGGTTGTGACCTTTTTCAAATTTCTTCCATTTGTATTGATTGGTGCCTGTTGGTGTTGTTAGTTGGTCGGTTGTCTTCATCACCTTCGTCTTCTCTATGTTAACCTGAAGTCCTGTGTTCACTATCTGCTTCTTCTGCTATCTTGTTGGTTTTTGCCTGTAAGTCTTCAAATTTACGCGACATTAGACACAAATCGTCTGCGAAGTCCAGATCTTCTGGAGTCTTCTTATCGATACAACCTATCGCTGTCTTCTCGCTCCATATGGTTGCTCGTATGATCCAGTCCACCACAATTAAGAACATCATCAGTGATAGTAGACAGTTTCGTCTCACCCCTATCTTCACTTCAGAGGCTACTCTGAGGTTGATTAAGGATTATATCACTATACTCTGTACTGTCAGAGTAGTTTCGGAATCACTTCGTGGTCAACACTCTCGAAAGCCTTTCAAAAGTGGATGAAGTTGAGGTAGGTACCTAACTTCCATTCTATTCTCTGCTCGATAATGATGGGTGTAGTTGAAATTTGATCCCTACCTGATTTGCTTTTCCTGAATTCATGGATAATCCCCTTCCAGGCATTAATGAAAACAAAACACGTAGATCAGCTGAATGGTATACGAGCTTGTCTTGTGGTCGGAAGGTTATGGGTCCGAATCCCAGTGGGTGCGTACTGCCGATTATTCCGAAACAAGGATGAAACAGCCGCCTAGTACCCCTGGTTTTCCTGAATTCATTTTGTTCTGAGTGGGGTATCACATCCAGTGCATCTTTTAGTCTCATCAGGATAACGAGACTTAACATTTTTCTCAGCGTGGACAAGATCGTGATTCCGCGTCAGTTTTCACAGGGGCCTAAATCTCCTATTTTTGGTAGTTTGACAAGCTAGCCTTCCTTTCAATCAGTAATTACTTTTCCTTCCTTTCAAACTTTTCGCAATAGTGACGTCAGCATATCTGCTTCGGCCTAAGGATCTGTTTCCTATAGTTTTACGTACATGAAAATCAATTAAACGAACTCTCGCATGTGAATAAAGTAGGATTGATAATAATAGCTTTAGAAATCTCTCTTTGTCTTTAGTATTCGAAACAAAACTATGATGCTATTTATTTATTTATTTATTTGTGAATGACTAGTAAAGGCATTTATTATCATTATTATTATACTAGAACCTATTATGCAGCTAAACTTATCTTCATAGAGAAAACGAGAACTATGCTGTCCTGTATACCCTCACATTATCCGAACGATAGTGTCACATCCCACTGTGTTTATCAATTTACATGTGTGTGTGGAGACACATACATAGGGAGGACCCATCGGTTTCTGCAGGTTAGGGCTACAGAACACATTCCAAAGTGGCTGCAACAACAAATGAAATCGCCAGACACAATTGAACCCAGAAATAGATGTCCAACATCATCTATAGCGAAGCATATTATAGAGATGGGTCATAAGGTTGATTTCAACAGTGCCTTTAAGCTGATATATAAAACAAGGTTGGGCCACATACTTAAATTCATTGAAGCCTTAGCCATAAAAAGATTTAAACCTGTCTCATGTGTCCAAAAGTTATTTGTTATCACCTTAAACCTACCTTGGTAATCCAATTTAGAACCAAGGACCAATTTACTTCATAATATTTTCAACCCCTTCTTTGCCTTGTTTTTTCTCCTTTTATCTTTCTTATCCACACCTTTTGTGTCTCCCTACCCATTATTTGTGACCTTGACCTGTATTGTAATTATTCATGTCTTCTTGCATTCTATAAAAACTGTGTATGACAAGTACTTGTGTGATCAGAATGTCCGAAATGTGTTGCGCCAATACATTACACGTTTCAGATAAACCACGTCTTCTTACTTTAATGTCGAAATTCACTAAAGGTTGCGTAATATTGAAACAAAATCCAAAAAGCTGAGCATTATTAAAAGGACACAGAGACAAGTATCAACAGATATTATGTAACAGCAGAACAGAGTGAACAAAAGGTCAATTAAGAAAATGATATCAATAAGTGCTATAAAAAAAAATACGAAAGAATAGTATTGATAGCAAAATAATGTAACGGTTGAGTTTGGAATAATAGCAAAGGTAAGAGGAGGGGCTAGAGAAGTTTCCTTTGTGTACATTAATCATGGTTTTCCATCCGATTGGCTAAGACCTAACCGATGCAAATATAATATAGTATGAATGCAGGAAGTAAAACTTTGCATATAGCTGACAAGAACTTCTTTGATTCATTCATGTACAGTACAGAAATGTCCTGACGGTAATAAATTACATTTATTTCCGATAAAATCCACGGTATTATACAAAAATCACAATATAACAAAATGCCAAATCACCTCAACAATTCTGTTAGGCAGCTATGTAGATCCTATAGACCCTCGAGTACCAAACAAATAATATTCAACTGAATTATTTAACCAGAATCAACCTTAAGAAGTACCTGAGAATCAAGCAGAATATTCCCAACAAGATGGGATCAAAACTTTATCCACAAGAATCACGCACCAAACAGTTTCCCTAGACAGTCTAAGATCAAAATGGCTTTGACTCACTTAAACAAAATCACATCAGAAAAAGAAAAAATTATCTGTGTAATCATCACATAACCACAAAGAGGAGCATTAAAAGCACTAGAGATTAAACAAGAACAAAGACAAAGACTAAGGATTAAGTCAGCAGATGATTTTTAAATAAAAGTGCAATGATATACTGTGTAGGAAAAAAGAAGATAACGATTGCAAAGTCAGAAATTAACTGATGGATGGTAACTAGCAGTGGAATCCAGCATGCACATTTCGTCCTATTTGGGACTTATCATCTGGATGTACCTGCATTTCCCAATGAGTGATGATTTTCCCACCAAGGTGTTTTTTGGATTCCACTGCTAGTCACCATCCACCAATTAACTTCGTCGAAGCATCTGCACAAGAAGCCGATATGTCAACCTGAGACCGAGCACTTCGGTCCAATAAATCGACGGAGAAATCTAAAATTGAATTACATAATTAATATGACCAGTTTCACAAGAGGTAGTTCTCGTGGCCCAAGTGGTCCAGTGGGTAACGCTTTGGCGTTTGAAACTATGGGCACTGGGTTCGAGCCTCGGTGGAAACATCATCACTCACTGAAGGATGCAGGTACATCCAGTTGACGAGTCCCAAATAGGACGAAATGCACGTTATTCTGTATTCCACTGGTGGTCACCATCCACCAATTAACTTCGAATCACATGTCCAGACATCGTCGAAGCATCTGCACAAGAAGCCGACATGTCAACCAAGACCGAGCACTTTGGTCCAATCAGTCGAGGGAAAACTCTAAAATTGAATTTAATGATTGCAAAGTCAGTTTGAATTTCTTAATAAGTAGCAATATCTGAAGGAGGCCGGTGAGGAGGGATTTTCCAAACACTTATTCCGTTATAGCAAACTCTCAAGGAAGCATACCATTTTCACGATACTTCTTATGACTGTGTAGATAACTCTGAATGAATTTTCATTACATGTCAAGTGACCAGAATTAAATATGTGCCCAATTGTAACACTCTATATTGACCCCTCGTGATATTTTTGTAGTCAAACTTAAATTGATTCAATAGGTAAAGATGTGTGTACTAATCTGTTGAAAAACGATATTCACTACACGTACGGTGCGTATCAACAGTTACTACACCACCAGGCATCTGTTGGCTTGGCCAGTGTTTTTCACAGCTGGCTTGGTCTCACTGGCATTATTATAATTATTGTTTCGTTTAAATCCTAGAGGAACATAGGGCTTCAGCCGTGCGTCTCCATTGCGTTAGGTTCTCTGCTAGAGTCGTCACCTGGCTCCAAGTCTGCTCACACGTTTTCATCTCCTCTTCACATGACCTCCTCCAAGTCACCCCTTGCAATGACGACCAACTCGCCACTTCCCTTTCGGGTTTCACTCGAGCAATGGCTTGTCTGATGATGTCACTTGATGGTTTCCTCAGAGTATGGCCAATCCCTCTCCATTTCTTTCTGCCTATTTGTCTCACAATTGGTTCCTGGTTGGTTCGCTCCCAGAGATGCCTTCCTGTTGCTGATCCTATCTGCCCGGCCATCTGATCTTGAGTTTTGAGCGAAGGCAACTGTTAATGAAGGTCTGTAGTTTGTTTGAGATGCTCTTTATGACGCGCAGTGCAAGTCTCTGATCCGTATAGTAACACTGACTGACTTCACATTGGAGTTGAAAATCCGGATGTTATTTTTGATGCTGAGTGCTGCTGACCTCCACACAGACTTGAGAGTAGTGAAAGCTTGTCTTGCTTTTCCGATTCTTGCTTTGATCTCACTGCCAGCTGAATGTTAATTCCTGCAGGTGGAGTCATCGACGTGTACTGATGAAGAGTCCAAAACCGGGACGAAACAGCTCTCCAGTACTCCCTGGTTTTCCAATGGTTCTTTAACAGGTGTCAGCTAAAGATAATTAATTCCCATTTTATCATATATTTCCTAGAATAATTAGTTATCATGTGTGTGGTGTGTTATTTCTGATAAAATATTTGTTTTATTTATTGTACATTTGTTGTTGTACTTTGATTTTCCTTTTTTCAGGTCATCACCGTCAATATTTTTAAGACATACATCAAATGAGACATTAAATGAAACATTATCAGTTAATTATTTTACTAGAAGTACAAAAGGTCATTATTTTTTAAAAACATTGCCAAATTTATTTAAAAAAGCCTTACATATAAATAAGCATAAAACAAATATTTTAACTGAAGAAGAAGGTGAAACCATTGAACAAGAAAGTTATGAAAAAAGTGGGCGAAAAGAAGATGAGAATGAGAATGAACGTTATTCATTGCATGAATTAGAACAATCCAATAGAATAATAACCAGTTCATATCCACATTCACAGACAACATCAACTGTTCAAGAAGTTTTAGAAATGGATGAAACAATCCCTATGATTCATTTAAGTGAATCGAATGGATTTACAAATTCGACAACAGATATTATTTATATGAAGGATAATAAACTCGGCAGGAATACTAACGGGGATTATTGGATTCAACCAGATGTTATTAAGGGAATGAATTCGAATTTGTCCTCTGAGCATACACCAAATAATCATAATGTTAATAATAATAACAGTGTGAATAAACAGTCCACAAAATCTCTTAATACAAAAAGTAATGAATTATGCACGAATAGAAAAGAATCTGATGAACAGATATGGATACTTCAACCTGGTTATATTTGGTGTCAGTCTGAAAACCAGGCAAAGTTAACTGTGAAGAAAGAGAAACATCTTGCATCAAAGGTGAGTGAACACTGGCTAACCAGTGAATACTATTCGCCTTGAATGACTTAATTATTTCCAATGTATCGAAAAGTCTTTTTTGTTTCATTCGTTTGCTTTTCGAGTAGAACAAAGGACTACAAAGCTTCAGATTCAAAGTTTCATTAGTGGTGATAATGTTTTTTATGGGGTGAAGTTGTTAGGCTCACATCTAACCTCTTTTAAAATTTTCAGGATTTATTCAATTTTAGATTTTCCCGACGACTGATTGGACTGAAGTGCTAGGTCTCAGGTTGACATGTTGACTTCTTGTGCAGATGCTTCGATGATGTCTGGGCATGAAATTTAAAAGTTAATTGGTGGATGGTGACTAGCAGTGGAATCCAGGATGTGCACTACGTCCTACTTGAGACTCGTCACTGGATGTACCTTCACACCACAGTGAGTAATGATGTCCCCACCAAGGCTCGAACCCAGTGACCACAGTTTTAAACGCCAAAGCGTTACCCACTAGACCACTTGGGCCAGGAGAGCCACCAACTGTGCAACGGGTCATATTAATTACTTAATTGAATTTTAGATTTTCCCATCGAATGATTGAACCGAAGTGCTCGGTCTCAGGTTGACACATCGGCTTCACTGGGGAATGCAGGTACATCCAGCAGACGAGTCCCTAATAGGACGAAATGCGCATCCTGGTTGATTCCACTGCTAGTCACCATCCACCAATTAACTTCTAATTTTCAGGATTATCACTGACTAAGGGACGTCTAATTGTGAATCGGCTGGGAATTCAATCGTAAACTCTTGCTCAGTTGGCGAGCATTCTGTCAGTGAAACACTGACGCCTGGTGAAAAATAATGATTTAATTAACCATCTATTAAAATAACCCCAGGAAAATTGTAAAAGATTTTAACATTTTATTCAAACGTAAAATAATTTAATGGAGTGAAGATCTCAATTAAATATTTAAGACAGATTAATGAACAAAGAATATTCTTCTCGATAAATTCTTCGTCAACTCCTAAATTTATGTGACCACAATGATTCAAGAATCATTGTTATTAATAACATTGATGGTGTTTTAAATTACACTGCATCAATAGTATCAACAGGTGATCATATTTTAGAAGCGCCAGTAAAAGAGAGAGAGAGAGAAAGATAATAAGCATTAATATAGCACTAAACTGATTGAATTTCAGATAAATTAAAGGAAGTAATACTACAGATTTTACGAATTTACAGGTTTGACACCAAGCCAGAGCAGTAATAGTGACTGGGCCTGTTTCTGTCACACTCAGAGCTCCGATCGATTTAAATGAATTGAAACGGCCTCTGTTGTTTAGAATGTTTGGTATCTAGAGGTTTCCGGTAATTTATTTGATACCCGACACATGATAAAGAAAGACTCTTCAATGCCTAGCTTTGTGGCCCGTCTGGACGAAGTGATCTAATATACGACTGCTGGTGATTTTAAGAGCACCTTTATTCAGCTACACTGGTAGATGTTCCCGAGCACGAAAAATTAGGTTCCTAGAGTAACGGCCAATATAGCTGACTTCACATGTAAAGTTGAATTGTTAGATACAATTAGAGGTAGCTAGCCTAGTTACTTCGTTGTTCAGTCTCAGGACCATAACTGGCTGTGTGGAAAATATGACTTGCAGCTTACTGGCATTAAACGACCTTTGAATCGATTTCATCAACTTGTTGGTTATAATGTGATTTAATATATCACCCTTTACCTGTAGCCGTATATATGGGGCTTTTTTGTTAAAAGAAACGGAAGAATTCTTTTTCAGTTTCTTGGCCATGTGTTTTGTTTTATTCCTCCATGCTCCTATTGGAACATAGGGTTTCAAGCTAGAGGCTTGAAGTTTCTGTAGCAGTGGTGATTTTTACAGGATGGGGTTGCTAGCCTCATACATAAAGTTTCCTCTTTACCAGCTTCTTATTTCTGGCCTAGTGAGGTAAAGGAGTGCGTTGGTGGCCGGGGATCGAACCCTGGACCATGTACATGGTCGGTGAGCGTCCTAACCGCTGTGCCGCCTACGCACATGTGTTTAATGATGAACTATTCAGGATATCTTTCTTCAGTTAATGTGTTGTATTCAGCCTTAAGTTCACAGATATCTCTGACCCTATAGCTGAAAGTCTGTACCAAATTTCTTTCATACTGGAAAGGAACAAAGCTGTGAAAATGTGTATACTGGCCGTTACAAGCACTTTCCTATGAAGATCACTTTCTGTACCACCATGCTCTCTTTTTGTTAGTAAGACGTCTGAAATGGCAATTTTACTTTGGAATTCTTCTTTACACGTGAAGTCGATAGCTGAATACGCTCCAGTGAACTGTAGCATTATTTTTTTCCTGTCCAAATCATCCTCACAAAGGATTAATGTATCATCCCTATACTAACAATAAAATAAGAATCTTCTAACAAAATTGTTTAAAGGACTCTTTTGCAGTTTACTCAGAAACACCAAACACTAGTACCATCCCGGACCTCTGTCGAACCTACAAATTCATAAATTCCGCCTTACTTCCCTTAATTTATCTGATATTCAGTCAGTTTAGTGTTATATTAAGGCATATTATCTCTCCATTACTGATGCTTTTCAGATGTAATCTGTCGATGCTATTGATTTAATATAATTTAAAACAGCATTAATGTTGTTATAAAGGATATTTGTTTAACTATTATGGTTACATAAATGTAGGAGTTGATGACGAATTTATTGAGTAGAATATTTTTTAATCCATGGAAAATTCCCATTGTAATATATAGAAAATCAAAACAAGTGATTCAGCGAAGAGACTTTCGAGCGAATTTATTATCAAGCTGTGCAATAGTACATTTATATATGGTTTTTAAGAAGTTATGTCCGGTGAGGGAATTGAATCGTAGGTGTGAATGCATAAAATAATAATAGTAGTATGAAATGCAATTAAAATATTTGTGAATCTAATCATAGTTAAATGTCAAGTGGCAAAATAATTAACGCCATATATGGAATAATTCATAGAACATATAGAACTTGGAAGGGGTGTGCACTTATAGGATTAGTAGGCAAATCGAATAAAATAGAAACGTTACGTAACATTGTGTGAAATTTGATAACAGAGAATTTTAACGTTGCAAAACAGAATTGATTTAAGAATGACAAGTGGAACAAGTGAAATAATACCGGAGACAGTTCAAAGTGAGAATAGTAGTAGTAACAGTTGACGTAATAAAGGAAGAGTATACAAAATGAATAGCCAAAATGAAAAAAATGATAGAGCCGAAATATTATTAGGGTTTATCATACTTTAGTATAAAGGGATAAGACCATGAAAGTTGGAGGGGTTGAACGAACTTTTCCTGCACACATAGATCTGGCTTTTCTGTTTCGATAGCCAAAGCTTCATCAACACAGATGAGTCGGGTACGTAGGGATTTGGGTAAATTACTCTTTGCCTTGTTGATGACTTTAAAGGCGGAGGCTATAGAGATAGGACCTTGGCGGCCTGTTTGAATTTTTGGGCCTGCTATTATAACATCTACATATTGCATCCAACCTACCATTTACTCCATTTACTTATCACCTAAATATGAATTCTAAAAGGATCATTTACTCTCGTAACTTTACTAATCATTTAAGACCCAATAACTTTCACATTCACAAGAAATCAAGGAGGGAGCATCGTAGTGGTTGGCAGAGAGCTCTTAAACGCATACCAATACACTTAAGTATGGTCCCCGTCATAATGAACACTAACTGCCGCTCTCTGCCAAACAAGATAATGTACCCACAATCCTTGATGTCCACTGACACTTATCATAATACTGCGATAATCACATTACAAGAAACATGGTTACATGTACTGTACGATGACAGTCTCATCTCACTAAAGGACTTCATCCTATTTAGACAAGACCGAAAATGTTGTAATAAGAAAAATGGGGGCGGAGTAGTAACTTTCATTCACTCCAAATGGTCTATTTCTAATAATGTTTGCTTCTCATTCTCAAATGACTTCATAGACTGTATCACCGTCAAATGTCGTCCCAAACATCTCCCCAAATATAAACACATCTTTATCACAAACATGTACATTTCTCCAAGTTGCTCATTATCTAATCTTTCAAATTTTGCTGATGAATTCACCATGTTTGCTGCTGCCAACTTCGATAACTCTCTATCTGTTATTACTGGGGACTTCAACTCGTCAGATTGCTCTTTCCTTGAAGCACTTGGTCACTCTAACATTGTCAAATTTCCCACTCGACTAGACAAAACACTTGGTTTAGTTTTTATTAATGACGAAGAAATCTATAAAGCACGTAAACGATTTCTAAGTTCTAAGAAAATATTCCGTCTTACCTTCTACATGAAGAAGTTAAAACATTCTGGTGTTATCCAACCCTTACTCCTACAATTCGTCAATTCTCGCATTCTGCCTATCATTCTCTATTGTTCCCCCTTAGTTTTTCCCGGGATACTGAAGAAAGACTATAACATATAACACAGGATGATAAAGGTTGTCAGCAGGGTAAGCAACGTGCCACTTAACCAGCTTGTTAATATTCTGGTCGACAGGCACATGGACTCATGTGAAAAATGGGCCAAGTCCATTTTATCTAACTCACATCACCCTCTTCACTCACAACTCTCCCTATGGATCTCATCAGGTAAAACCAGAAGCCTATATAGAAAACTATATGCTCGCACCGGCAAGTACAAAAACTCAACCATACCCTACTTAGCTCGTGTTCTGTGCGATAAAGAAAGCATTAGGCGTGACACCTATAACTTATTAAATAGTCAGTAGTACAACTGGACCTCGTCTTTCCAACTCATATCATTTATAGGTACAACATTTTCTTTCTTTCTTTTCCTTTTCTCTCTCCCTTCTTTTTTCTCTTTTTTTCCGGTATGTGCTGCTTTGTTTCTTTCTTCCGCTTACACCAGTAAATATGATATCACCTACTTTTCTAACCCCTTCAAACACTGTTCAACTTTGGCTTTGCTACCG